AAAAAAAAAAAAAAAAAAAGCATCAGCGCTTATAAAAGGGAAAGGCAATTCACGTAAGCCACATTCAACGGTGACATTCACCACATTATTTTCTGTTCAGGAAAGTATCTTGAGGCAAAAATTATTCATTCCTCACTCAAATATTGGCAACTGAAATCATGCTTGGCTTTGCTCTTACCTGCGTGAAACACAAGTGAAGCACGTTTGTGTTCAATCGATCCACAGCGCTTTTAAAGTCCTTTTTACTTAATTCACGCTGACAAAATTCACTACAAGGTAAGGCAACATATGAATTTATAAATTTATTGACGCTGTTGTATAAAAAGCTACGTGACGGGTTTTAAAGATATCGAGAATGTGTTAACAACACCTGTAGCTTATTCTTTTTGGTAGAATCACGTCCAAATAGAACGCCATGAGTTTCAGCATTTGACAGGCGTGTGTAAGAGCAGCGGTCATCCTAAAAGCTGGCGTTTTAAGAGAGATTTCTTCATCGGAAGCTGAAAGAGAAATCAACGACGATGAGGATCCTCTCCAATCGACACGGGTTTTAAAGAATAAAAGCGGGAGAGCTACGCCCCACTCCTAAATTCCGTTTCTTTGTCAGCCAGCAAATGGAGTATTGTCGTCCAGAGAGTATGAGCAACAGGCACATAACAGGTTATACAGATACCATGGAGATCCAAGGACCCCTTCCGATCTTGAGCAGGCAAGTAAGTTATACCATCAAGCTTGCGAGGAGGCCCACATTATAAGCGCTGTGGCATAACCGTCTGCCAAGGGTCTGGTACCAAATTAGCGCAGGCATGCCCGCAAACCATACTGAGAGCGGATTTATGATTATTAAGTGATTAAGGCATTGACCAAACAAGTCAAGCTCGCACCAGACTTCTTTTTTTTCCTTTGACTTTCTTAATCGAACTTCGATCTAAACCGATACGTTTATTTGCAAAACCCTAAACCCAAATTTTTATTTCGTTTACAAAATCGAGTATAACTCTACTTGAACGAACAAACAAGCACATTCCATATGTTTTGCTTTAAATTACGTTTCTGTTCTATTTTGGGTTTCAGCTTTCGGTCGCCTTATTTGCGTGAGGTCCTTGATCACTGAAGTAGTTATCTTTTATTGCGACTGGATGTAAACGAACAATTACAACTGACAAAGGACTTACCGAGTTCTCTGGAGCCATTCCTGCGTGCCTTGACTGGGACAAGAAAAAAAATTTAGAGTCCATATATAAACATTTTAATTTTCTTTCGCCTATTTTGCAAGACAAGGATTTTCTTTCTTATGTTTTGCGCGGGAAACTGGCGCGCAGCGGAGAGAGCTGATCCCCTCGCGCATGCCCGACGTTTGACGGCTGTACTGTACATACCCCATTCGTAATATGACGAGTAGTCCCCATTCCCTGGTAAACATGCACCATTTATTGAGTACACCACTCGCACATCCTCCTCCTCAGACACCCAACGTCCTTCAATGTAAGATGTACGGGTGGCCTCGGCCAGCTCCGACTCGCGGTTTCCGTCATTATTTTCGCTCTCAATGTCACACTGGATATCTAAAAGGGAAAGACTTGTAATGTTTTGTAACTAAAATAAGAAAAATGGTTAAGTTTTGCGCTCGGTAATAGAAATAGAGAAATTTGTTTTGACCAATTGAGCTAACCGCCTCCTGGTTAGCTCAATTGGCATAGCGCTGGACTGCTGTGCGGGAGGTCGAGAGTTCGACTCCGGCCGGACCAACACTCAGGGTCTTTAAATAACTGAGAAGAAAGTGCTGCCTTTGTAATAATATCTGCAAATGGTTAGACTTTCTAGTCTTCTCGGATAGGGACGATAAATGGAAGTCCCGTCTCGCAAGCCCTTATATGTGATAAAAATTGTGGGACGTAAAAGAACCCACGCACTCTTCGAAAAGAGTAGGGCACGTAGTGCCCGGTGTTGTGGTCTATCTTTGTGAAGTGTCTAATCTAGGGTGAATTGGGGAGGGAAGGTGTGATCAATACATGGACTGAAGTGGCTGCATATTACGCCTGATGAATTCTGACGTACGATATCTCACCTTAACTGATTGTAAAGCGCGACTGATTATCTATATAGTAGTTTGCGCTATATATATGTTAAATTGTTGTTGTTGTTGTTGTTGTTTTTCTTCTCGTCACGAGCCTGGGACGAAGAGAAAATTCTGAGTCCCAATGGGGAATCGAACATGATGCTATCGAAATTGCAATTCTAGTAATACGCAGGACGCATGTGATATATGTGATATGTGATATGTGATATGTGATATGTTCTTCGTAATGGACTTCGCGCACCAAAGAGTCTCTGTGGCTCAGTAGTAGAGCATGGGAGCGTGTTCCCGAAGTTCTGTTCGATTCCTCAGAATTGTACTAGAGATCCATCTCCCACAGATGTCTTTGCGAAGATCATGATGACATGAAATAAATCACTTTCTGACCTGCAGATGATATACAAGCAAACAAATGATCCACGCAGGTGAAACGCTATGAAAGGAGTTACAAAAAATAAGCCTGATAATAATTCCACGCTTCCACGGCTGAGGGGAATGGATTCGAATGCTATTTCTTCGAGCTTCTTTTCTCCAATTTCTTTCGTTGCAGTTGTAAACCTGTGAGGATCATTTTTCTCTGCCTGTATATGAAAAATTAACCAAGTTAAACTTCAAGTAGCCAGGTTTGAAAATGAGGGAGAAAAATGAAGGGCTTTGGTCTAAAATAAGGTCAAAATTTCAAGAACCTGGAAGAAAAATCCTACCGAGTTTTCCAATGATCAACCAATGACCAGAACTAACAGACATGGCAACAAATGGTATCTTTAAGCGATAAGTGGTAATCTAATTTGAAATGAACTTAACTGGAATGAATAGGAGAAACCCTGTACACCCATCTGTTATACATACATGCATGTGTGCGTGCGTGCATACATACATGCATGCATGCATACATACGTACATACATACGGGTCTGTAGGGATGAAGTGTAGTTGATTGATTTTCTTCTGCTTATCACAGGTTATACTCGCTCTACTATATGTATCGAGCACTGTTTTACGGATATCAAGTTTAACCCTTCTACATACATATATACCTACGTTAATTGACCACTCCCCCATAGGGCTTTTCAGGGCCATTCTTACAACACCACCCACCCATCCCACCCCAAGGGAGGACATCCACCACACAGTAATCTCGTGCGTGGGAAATTAACATCTCCTACCCCTAACCCTGCAGGAGATGAGGCCAACGGTTTATTCNAAATGACAAGAGAGATTAATCTCAAAAGGATTATACAGAACCAATAGCCAGACAAGTATGCTTTAAAATCACCTGGATCAGAATATGAAATCTCAAACTGCTAACATGTCACAAACCTAGAATTTCCACGACAAGTCAAGAAAGCAAAGCCAAAAACAAATAATTTTATATAAAGTATTAGTATAATTTCAGAGCTGAGCAAAGAGTTTCCAGCAATCTGATTGATCAAGCAGTTCCTTATATGACGCTATATAAACCACTCCATGTGGTTTATATAAAATGTTAAAATAAAATGTTAATAAATGTTACTAAAATGTTATGATTTTAGAAATTTCTCTGTTGTTCAGCTCTGAAATTATACTAAAACAATCATTTGCCTCAGGTTCAGTAAATATCGTCGAATAATCCCCTCAACTTCGTCTCAGGGATAATTCGACAATTCACCTCGCCTTCGGTGAATAATTTTTAAATGTAATAGATGCTTTTATACCACACTGTTATTATCATCATAGCCTGCCATGCAGGCATCTTATCAGGCAAAGGTAATTTAGTTACATATCAACAAAGTTGAAATTGTAAATTGGCCACTGTAACGAGTTAAAAGCTGACATTTCAAGCGTTAGCCCTTCGTCGAAACATCGGCTTTTTAACTTGTTATGGTGGCCAATTTACAATTTCAACTTAGTTGATATAATCAAATTACTTTGTTACCCCCACCAACACAGCACCACAGTTTCTTTAGAAACTTTCAGCCTTTATCAGGAAAATGTTGCTTTACAAGCCCCTGATCATTATCTGGCAGCCATGTTGGATTTAGAGCTAGAGTAGACTCTGGGAGGAGGGGACGGGGAGAGAAATGAAATGACAAGTGATTTCTATTAAAGAACCTGTTAAAGATCTTTACTGGGATTCTGACCTGGCACGTAATACCACTCTACTTCTCAAAAATACAGGTTTTACCCAGATTAATTTAATGTTAAAAATGGAAGACATTTCCTCTTGCAAAAATGTCCTAAAGTTTGCCTCCAGGATGTTATTGAAAGACCACTTTCCACAAACACTTTTCTACATTCACCTGAAACTGTAGTAACTGCTTTGCCTTCCTTCGCAGCTGTTCTGAATGTTCCATTTGTCTCATCTGTGTTTTGTCATTCCACTCTCTCAGCTCCTTCAGAGTTTGGCTTGCTGTGGATAAGAAGCCAAAATTTGTTGTTAATTTGCTTTGAATAGGGTAAATTGTGATTGACATGTTTTTGAATATATGAAACAGCATTTCACAATTTTTGCCTCAAAAAGGGAAATTCAAGGCTCAATATCATATTTTGGACAAAAAACCCTTTTGAGTGAACACATTTATAATTTACTAATTTTAATCAACTACTGGTAAATTATAAAGTTTATTATGCAAGTAATGTTTACTTAAATCAAAAACTATTGCAAAGTTGGAACAGATCAATGGAAAAATAGATGGCTAACTGTGGTTCAAACTTCTTCATTCTATCGAGAACCTTATCCCAGGTTTTTTTTCCTTTTTCAGAAAATCCCTGAATGTCCCCAGATATGATCAAGTTCTCCATAAAACTTCTGGTGCTAAGGATAAAATCTCACATCTTTGAATCCAAAAAGGTAGACCATAAAGTTCCTAAGATCTACTTGTTAATTCTCCCCTCTTGTAGTCTCCTCTTGCAGCCGTTCTTTGTCTTGGGATCCCTGTGTCTCCCTCCCCACAAACATTTGTGGGTAGGGAGACACAGGGATCCCAAGAGAGACACAGGGATCCCAAGAGAGACACAGGGATCCCAAGAGAGGCACAGGGATCCCAAGAGAGACACAGGGATCCTAAGAGAGACACGGGGATCCCAAGGGAGACACAGGGATCTTAAGACAAAGAACAGCTGCGAGAGGAGACTACCCCTCTTGCTGCTACACATTTCCTTGTAAACTAGTTAGGAGAATTTGATGTTTGATCAAAGCAACAACTTTGACTTGATAAATTTGAGTGTTCTCATTACCTGGCTCCTGGATAATGTATCAATGTTATTAGGAGAAGTTACATGTTAATCATTTCATATTATTTTAGAAAATCAACTCACCTGATTCTGTATCAAGTGTTGCTTCCTTTACCACCAGCTTCAAAAGTAGAACCTTCTGTCTGCAGCTGATTAGTTCGCAATTCTGTAATTATAATCATCTGACTCTCAAAATCAAATGTCTAGATACAATTTGACTTGTCTAGAACAGTAAACATTTACAGTGAGTATGCATCAGTTAAAATCACTTGAAAATATTCTCTGACTACATTTTCATTCATTGGATGATTATCGGAGCCAGTTTATCTTTTCCAGATTTTCAACTTTCTTTTTCCATAGGAACATTATAAACTCATACAGTATGTACTTGATCACATTCACTTGGCAAGTAGAGTAAAACTAACAATTTATTACATCAAAGTAAATTTTATTACTGAAAATGGAAGAATGGTGAGGAGAGAATTTTAAAGGGTTTTCATTAAAGTGTGGGAGCAAATGAATAGTGTGAAGTAACCAAGAGAGAGTTCTCCACATCTGAATTATCAAAATCAAGTGAGTGATTGAATTTTCCTTCCATATTAAAACCTCATAGAATGGCTGACGTCACGCCATGTGGCATAAAATGGCTGTGACCCAAGGATTCTGTATCAGAATTCTCAGAATAGCCAGAGAATTATTCAGTCCACAATTCCTTTGGAAGACCTTGAAGTTCTCCTTTACTTTTCTGTCTTATGTACCCCTCCAACTGGCTTGAGACATTTCCACAGTTTTAGCACTTGCCCTGTCTCACACCCCCTGTAACCTTTTCTCCACCAAAGTAACATTCAGTGTAATCTGTTGTTTTAATACCTCAAGGAATCCTTTAATCAGTATTTCAGGTTAAAACGATTAAAAACTAGTTTGATTCAAATTTCCCTATGCTTAAGGACTATGGACACCCACAAAGAAGGAAAAGAAATCAAGCATGTTTACAATCATGAAATTCAGTTTAAACAACAAGTACATTTGTGCTATTGTGCAGATTAATTCAATACACACGTATACGTACCAATTTCTCCGTATTTTCTTGTTTTCTTATTACATCTAGCGCTCTAAAAGAACAGTGAAATCATAAAGTGACCCTAATGCAACAGTAAATTAAAAACTTTAGTGGAATCATGACCGTTTATTTTCATATGACACAAATTTCTCTTACCGTTTCTCATATTCATTTTTTAACCTCTTTAAAATCTCGAATTTCCTAAATTTCTCTGCATACCTGGGGGTGAAAAAGTTAAAATGTTAATTCCTAAGGATAACTGGTAACAAGAAAGTTTTCATCTTTGATATGTAATGAAATTTTTAACTAGTTGCACGAAAACGCGTAAATTCCAGTTCAATTATGAAATGATAAAACGACGATTACCTCTCAAGGCATCTTTCATTAGAATGACGAAAGTCTCCACTCTGGACGCATGAAGTACACGTAAAACGCTTTTTCTTGATACCACATAGCGGACAGGTCTGAGTTAACGGAGTAATCATGGGCTTTGAGTCGGTTCTGTCCTGAAAATATTCCGCCATGATCATCTGTTACATCTTTGTTTTGCTGAGCAAGCTGAGTTGAGTTTTGGTTTAGACGTCAAACCGCTGACAGATTGCATATACATTTACTAATGTGTACACAGGTCAGCGGAATTATACCAAAGAAGAAACAAAGCTGAGCGAACGAAGACGCCATGTTCCAAAAACTTCGAGAATGGTTGTGGCTGAAAAATTACCAATATCAAGTAATTACTGGCATCTACATGCTGGAGCCTTGGGAGAGGACGATATTTAGTATCCTTTGCTACATGAATATCTTTATGCCGGTTTGAGTCACTCCTGTGTATTGAGTCAACTACGCGTCAAATCTTTAGGTAGGACGTGTTGCTACATATGCAGCAGTGCATATAGTTGACGAAAGTGTCGAATCTGTGGTTAACTTAAGACTCTTGTTTTCAACACTGTCCTCTGAGTTCAGTTTTCTATCGTGATTCCGCCATGATTATGTAACCGAGGCAAAAAAGAGCAACTAAATTTATCTCAAAGACTGAGGACTGCGATGCTGACCGCCTAAAGAAATTAAATTTGTTATCATTAGGAAAAAGGCGATTGTTAGCAGATGTTACTTTTTATACAAAGCTCTCCACGGAATAATTGATACTGATGTTGGACGCTATGACGATTTTTATGAGGATATTGATCATTCGTTAAAGACACGGCAATAAGTTAACTCTAAAGATGAGACAAGCAAGAACGAATGTTCTTAGATATCGTTATTTTCATTGAGTTGTGGGAACATGGATTATTTCATTCTCTTAGTGTATTTACAGTTTAATATTTATATTTATTACTACCATATTTTAATTTGCATCATTATTTTCATTCTAGTACCACAGGTGATCTGCTTTAATATGGGGTCTATGACTCTTGTGCATTTCATCCCTTGGCTTCTGTTTTTTGTATGCCATAAATTGTAATAAATAGATAAATCTTGGTTGTATTTTTTTAACACATGTGTTCTTCAGTAAGATATAAATCTATCTTTTGCTAAGTTTGCTGAGAGTTTCCTATCCGTACCTTCCTAACGTTGCAAGTAATGCCAGATCATTCCTTGACGTAAATACCACAGATGCAACATTGGTGACAATCCTGGGGATGTCTGTGTATTCCACATACGCTTATTTACCGGCTTATATTTACAATGTCCTTGCATACTTTGGTTATGTTGAAGATTCATAATTTGTTGACTTCACTGTGATAGTAGCAAGAATGTTCAAAGGATTATGAAGGTTTATACACAAGCAGAGACTTCAATCTCACGGTGGGCTTTATATCAAGATGAACATAACAATGTACTATGCTACCATGAAAGAGACAGCAGTTAATGCAAAAAATAGGTTGTATCATAGAATCAATTGCAGATGAGAGGTTTATAATCATAATATGGATTTGAAAAATTCTTAAATGTTATGTGTATAAAACAGTTAACCAATCCACAGCCATTGTAAAGACCAAAAGATGTTTTCTTGTTGTAATTTTAACTCAGATTTGTATCTTAACCTTGTAGTCCCAAAAAGTAATTAACATCTCATTTGTCCTTACCTTATTGCCCTTGGATGAAACATTAAGGTCAGGAGAATAAAAGCTTTTGATGGTGTAACAGATTTTTCTGTCAATACTGTTGGACAGGTATTGCGAAACGTTTGGAGAGCAAGTGGGGGTGTAATTTGGTTTAACCCCCTGTGGCAACTATCCTATCCTTTGTACCACATCCAAGGCCTGACACCAACTTTTCAACTTACTAACCAAGTGGCTAGTGACAACTTAGATGTTACAACAATTTCAGTTTGTTTACTAGCCAAACTGGCCAGTAGAAATCAAAAACCACTTGCCAAAACTGACTTTTTACTAGTCTGTGGCAAGTTGGCTACCATTAGTGTTGAACCCTGACATCACTGTTGAATCATGCATTAAGTTCCTGAGAATAAAGGAAGTAACCACCAACATCAGAAGCTCTTGATTGTGAGACAAATTTTCCTGGTTAGCGACTTTGGAAATGCATGGATAACTGTATGGAGAATATGAATACTGATGTCAAGATGTGAAGGCTTAGAGCAATTTAAGCATGACTTTCATAGGAACAGGGAAAGGCACTTAGTCACTTTCTTTGCTGCTTAATGTCAGAATGCATATTCTCCATACTGTTCTTTAAACAATTTCTAGGGTGCTGACAATCAAGAGCTTCATTAGCAGGTGATCATTGCCTTAAAGTGCACTTGACCCCTAAATTTTTTTTCACTTAAAAGAAATCTTCCTGCTTTGGTGAGTATTTCTTCGAAAAAATTGTTGGATTTGGGTAATCCCTCACTTTTTTTATGCCCCGTGAAGTCGAGATCCAAATGAACCACTACGGCGTAAATGGGGATCTGGGCAGAGTAGACTTGTGACGTCACTTCGAGAAGACGCTCAAGGAATTCTCAGCCAGTCGTCGACCTGCGAAAGCCTTTCTAGCACTAGATTCATTCTGCGGCATATTTGCGACCAATATCGATCTAACCTTCCAAACATAATCAGTGAACTGTGCAAAATGGCGCTAAATACAGATTGTTGGGTTCTCGAAGTGACGTCACATTAGTCGCTAGACTCTTGATCTTTGAAACGCGTTCGTGAGTCAAAATGGCAGGGATTTTAATGCGATTTTCAGTGCCTCAACGGGGCACAAAAATTCAAGGATTTGACCAAATCCAAAAATTTTTTCAAAGAGATATTCACCAAAGCATGAAGATTTTTTTAAACAACAAAAAAAAAAAATTAGGGGTTAGGTGCACTTTAATTCTCCTGACCCTAATGTTTGATTCAGCGGGATTGGAGGGTCAACATGCTTAAAATAAAATACTGCATTAAGTATTCTATGATGGTGATGTAATAATAATAATAATAATAATAATAATAATAATGGTTTATTAGTACTCCACCTGGTGGTTCTTCTGTACTTATTCAAGATATATGAGATAAAAAAGAAAAAAAAAGATATACGAGATAAAAAAGGGCAAAATCTGGAACTACTTGTTGCCAGTGTCATAAAAAAGTTTTCTGCATGTACTGTCAAATACTTTGAGTTCTGTATAATTTTTATTATTAAAAACTAGATCATTGGATAATGCAATTCAAGACTTTTTATTGGCTTAGCCATTATGGTATATCAGCCAATATACCATAATCTACAAATATGGTAAGCGTACGTGTCAGCTTAAAATTAAAAGGGAGCTAAAAATTTAATAAAATTTAATAATTTAATTTAACGTTTTTAATAAAACAATTATTCCACTCGCGCTTGTTGGATATGAGATGATTATAGCCAACTCGGCGCTACGCGCCTCGTTGGCTATCTATCATCTCATATCCAACGCGCGCTCGTGGAATAATTGTTAA